CTATAGGAAACCCATAGGAAACCCATAGGAAACTCATAGGAAAAGAAGAAGAGGCATTGTTGAGACAATAATGAATCGCCTTGAAGCAACAATGGCGCAACATTGGATCAATAATGCGCAGCCCGGAGCAGCGAACTGCGCGAACTGCAGCGACTGCAGCGACAGCTGCAGACTGCGCCGCGCGAAAGCGCGAACACAGAACATAGCACCTCTCTCTTTAGAGGGGGTTTCCCAAATGGATTCTATTCTACCTGAGAGGCTCCTGGCACTCGTCCGTCCAGGAAATGACCTCGTCCTGCGAAGGATTCGAAGTCTAAAACGCTGCGTGCTGTGGCTGCAAAATAATGACCCCTAGATATGCGGTTTGGCAAAATGCCCAGCAGCTGCCTTTGGCGAGCCCCTCAAAGGAAACCCTGGCTGGCCTTTTTGGTTGGCTTCTGGCTGGCTTGGCTTGGCTTCTGGCTGGCTTTCTGGCTGGTTTTCTGGCTGGTTTTGGTTGGCTTCTGGCTGGTTTGGCTTGGCTTCTGGCTGGCTTTCTGGCTGGTTTGGTTTGGCTTCTGGCTGGCTTTCTGGCTGGCTTGGGCTTGGCTCCTGGCTGGCTTTCTGGCTGGTTTGGCTTGGCTCCTGGCTGGCTTTCTGGCTGGTTTGGCTTGGCTTTCTTTTTTTTCCCTGTTTTTTTTAGCTCGCCTTGCAGAAACGCAGCTGCTGGGCATTTTGCAAGCATATCTAGGGGTCATTATTTTGCAGCCACACGCCTGCACGCAGCGTTTTAGACTTCGAATCCTTCGCAGGACGAGGTCATTTCCTGGACGGACGAGTGCCAGGAGCCTCTCAGGTAGAATAGAATCCATTTGGGAAACCCCCTCTAAAGAGAGAGCCTTTTCAAATTATGCAAAGTTTATGTGCCATTGTCTTCTTCCCTGTCTCGTTATCCTCTTTGCGCACTAACAATCAGTACCTGTTGCCCCGTGCAATGGCTCAGTCTTACTCAATGCATATGAAGCCAGCCGATTGCTTGCCCTGACAGCGCACCCGGTCTTGATGGGCTACCATATGCCGCATACCGTGCAGCGCCCATCATTGCCGCGCGGGTACTCAACCAACGCCTTTGTAAATACATTAACCTGCAAGTCCGTGCAGGCCCTCGTTTTCATCCCTAAAGCTATGCTGGGCCATATGCAGACAACTTTCGCCCGCTTGGATTGCCAAACACGGCTAACCGTATTATTGATCAGGCCGTTTATGTCAGGATGTATCGGCTCTTCATCGTTCCTTGCATTGCACCCTAGCCAGACCCTGATTAACATTTTTAGAGAACCCCAGACCAGAACCTGGGCCTGGGCACGCAGACGGCCGACCACTGGGTGCGCAGGTGCGTGCGCGGCGGCAGCGCGCAAAAGCTGGACTGGCTGGTCGTGGAGGAGATCGCGCAGCTGGACATGGGGTGACATCGACCGGTGACATTGGAAAAACGTCAGCAGAATGGAGAATTTGGCTGTTTTGCAGGGTTTTTCGGTAAAAAAACAAAATAATTAGGGTGGTGTAGGCCTGTGTTCCTCACTACTGCTTCGGTCCAAAAGCGAGGCCGGCTCCGCGGCTTCGGTCCAAAGCAACTTAAGGGCATTCGGCGATCGATCAGATTCTGGTTCCCGAGCGTTCATCCACCATACGCTCCAAAAAGACCACAAAACTCAGTGGAAGTGGGGCGCTCTTTCTCCGCGGACCGGTTGAACTTCCTTCATACTCCCCTGCCTTCACGCCTATGCCTTGACCCAGAGCCAGGCCAGCCGTTCCGATTGCACCTGGGTGACCCTGACGTGCCCTTGTTGCAGTTTCTGCAAGAGGGGGTCCCCTGCCAGAGCGCCGAAGGAAAATTGAACGTGGTCTTTGCAGAAGGCAAGGAACCACGCCTTGTCCTGGACAGCGCAGTGTGCCAAGCCAACACGCGATGCTACCTGCCAGCAGAACGCCTCAGCCTTGCAATGGCATCAGACCTGGTTGGCAACATTCGGACTGGCCCTCTTCCTAATGTCGCTACGTGCACTTACCTCCGGCTCGCTGTCGTTGGCCTTCTAAAACGTTGCCTTGCCAGAGATGATGATCTTCTTCTGAATGTTCTTGATGAAGAAACTCCACAGCCACTGCGCCAGGCGCTGTTAATACTCGTCGGAATGGCCGTCACCTTCTCGTGGCATTTCTGCTGCAGCCACATGACTGCGTGTCGGGTTGCCAATCCCAACTTGGCTGCGCATTCCACGGGCCGCGCTGCTGTCTGACCTGCGCCCAAGAATGGTGTGTGGCCTCTGATAAAGGACCACACATGCCAAAGAAAAAGTCCTTCACTGCACAAAGACCATGGCCACGTACTTGCTCTTAGTAAGATGCTTTTCTGGCTTCTTACTCTGCCCTCCATAAGGTTAGGAGGAGACCCAAGAATGGATGAGAAAGCGGGGAAGAAGAAATCGCAAGGCTGAAGGAGCTGCCTTGACGGCCACATGAAGAACGACTACAGCGACATCACCATTACGTGGAAGAAAGAGAGGAGAAAGAGCCTAGTCCGAATGCTCAGCTCCGCAAGCTCTGCCGTGGCCGCACGTGCGATCTTGTCGCACAGCGCAGCAGGAACGCTGTAGAGCAGCTCGCGTGCCTGCCGGCTGACGAAGGCTGGTTTAGAGCGGGGCGGAGGACTTATTTGCCGCACATTGGTAATGGCAATTCCGCGGATGCTGCTACACCTGGCATGTTGCCCACAGTACTACAGCGTGCAGGTTATCGACGTTAAGAACGCGTTTTGATGGTTCCCAGCCAGAGAAAGAGAGGCATCGGTGACCTACAAGGGAAGAGGTACAAGTTGGTTGGATGTCTGCCAGGACAGCGGACAGCTGCTAACAGGTGGTGTATCCACTTCAGAAAGAGTTTGGCATGGAGGACGACGTGATAGCCAACTCTGATGAAGTTCGAAACATCAGTTCGGAACTTAGGTCGATCGTGGGGAAGATGCTCTACATTCAAGGTGAGCGGCTAATTGCCAGTTTGCCATCAATGCTCGCGTGGATGTCAAAGCCTACAAAGACGGCATGAAGGCACGCAGAGCATTTGGCAAGCTACCTGCTCGGCACGGAGTTCTACGGATCATCAAGAGCAGCAGATGCGGAAAGTCCTGCTGGACATAAGAGAAATGCAGAAGATTGAGGTGAAGAAAGTTCACCTTATGAAGGTTGTCACTGACTATGCGGGGGAGCAAAACTTAAGGAAGAGCATCACGAGCTTCCAGGTGTTCCTCGACGGCATCTTGACCCAGTTGGTGTCCGTGGGGCATTGCCGTGATTTCCCTCGACCGGCCATTGACTTCTAAGAGCTTGGATCCCTCTAAGATCCAAAGGCCTGGCAGGCTATGCGGGGTTTGGAGGTCACGGCTCAAGCAGGCTTGAAATGCCAACCAGGTATGGAGAGCATCGAACCTGGACAGCTATTAAGGCCTGCGTATCATATAAAGGCGCGAGCCACGACCTGAGACGCAGCGCGATGCTTGTCGCGATGAGAAGGCCAATGCACTGCTTCTGAGCCTTGCTTTTGTGACAGCAGTGCTTCGACTAAGCCTGCTAGTTTGGCTTGCCTGACATGAGCTGTGTGGAATCGTGGAACACCACACAAGGCGATTCTGGAACTGTGCTTTTTTCCAGGACATTGGTGCTGCGATAGCACAGAAGAAGAGCGCAACCAGCGCAACATTTCCTGGGCACTTTCGCAGCAAGAAGGCGCCAGTGCGTTGCCACCAGTAAGCCGAGAACCGGCTTCCAAAATAACAGACTCTGTAGTGGTAGAGTTTGTTTTGAAAGGCGAACAGAACAGCACAAGGCTTCGCGGCGCACCTGCACTTGCTCGTGCGCTTTGAAGTCGAGGCTGGCGCCTATGAAGGCCTGGGTAGATAGGGCAACGCACGAGAAATGTCCCCACTACAAGTGGGAGACAAGTGTTCAGTCATATCCGCATGCAAAGCATGATGTACATGCACCGCAATCGGAGGCTCTAATTGCCACAGGAAAAGAGCTGCCATTCGCTCGACACTTGCGCAAGAAGCGCTGCGCAACTCGCACGAAACACTTGCACCGAGCAAACTTGCGCGGAACTTGCGCAAAGTCAGCAGCACAGAGTTACTCGGGGAGAAAAACCGCAGCACCAATATTTATTGCGCAAGTTGCGAAAATTATGGCGTCAGGTTTTGTTTTTTGTCCGAAAAACAACTTGTTTGTTGGTTTGTTTTTGTTGTTTGGTGGGTTCCACATGCAACATTAAGCAAAACCTGTTAACAACAAGCTTTGCGCCCCGCAATTCTTCAGAGTGCCAGTATGTCGTGATTCCTCTCTGGAGTTGAGGATCCGCATGAGCAAACTTGGATTGCCTTGGCATTTCACCTTTGCACTGTCGACGACGTGTTTTTCAGTGGCTGGAAAAGCACTTGGGAAAAATGCTTTCGGGCCAATCCTGTTGTTCAGGTTTTGAACAGTTAGTCAAGGGTGCCACTGCAACTTTTGGGGTTTTGCCACGAACTTTGGGCATTTACGAGCTTACGATGAATGCCCATTGTAGCGCGGTTGCCACAATCACAGCATTGGGGGATGCTTCGCACGTGGGCAAGTGGCTTGACGAAACCGCCCAATTCCTGGCAACGGCAGATGCTAGGATTTATAGCGCGCCGTAGTTCGTGGTTGAACATCTCGCGCAGGGATGATGAACATGCTTGCACCACCACGAAATACATGGGCAAACCTTGAAGGTTTCTGCAGTCCTCAGTCAGATTGGAAGCCAAACATTTTTTGAGTGTTTGCACGTATTTTGTCCTGTTTATTTGCAGTTTGTGTGCTGGTGTTTTTGACAGATTTGGCTGAAGCATGTGGGCGTCGAGTCTCGGAATTTAAGAGCATGCCCATGGATCGACATTCTGGCGGGCGGCACATGGACGTTCTTGCTCGCGTCCGATTTTGCTCCCCTTGTTTGATGCTCAAGAAATTTATTCGTAGTCAGAGAAAATATCCATGGATCGACATCCCTCGCCATATGCCAGCACCTTGGCAAGCATTCAGATCATCAGATTTGGGTGTGGCTCAAAATTCAAGAGCTAGGGTTACGCAGGTTTGTTGTGACAGTTTCGTGAATCTGAATCTGCCAAGGATGCGTTCTCTGAGAAGACTAGTCTCTCGGCGAAAGCTTGTTGTGCATCCAGCATTCTCGAAGCCGTTATTGCCCGACGAAGATAACCCGAAGACAAAGGATGGTGTTTCAAAATCAAGCCCGGCTGCGCGAGGCCTTGCTTGCAGCTTTGAGCCATTGTGGCTTCTGCGATGATGCTGTGGCCCTATGTGTCTCATAAAAGTGCCCTGAGAGAGACCCATATTCACCAAGACACTGCGGATGTCAGTAACGGGATTTGATGACCGGAGGCTTTCTGGTTGACAGGCACTCTCTTTGCGTGATTGTTTAGTGGGATTGACGTATCCATGGAACATGTTTGAGCAATCATTTCTTTTTCTTTTTAAACGAAACCAGTGGTTGTGTCTATTTTGTTTTAGTGCAAAACTACTCCAAAAGGGGTCTCCTTAAGAGTCTCGCCCATATCTCTCGCGTTTTTCGTTTCAGCCTTGAGGCTGACGTGACTGGAAGCCCACCTTTGGTGCGCAGAGAGGCAAGCTTCACCTAGCGTTTGACATGAACACGAGCCGGCTTTTGCTGGCCGTGTAATGTGGCAAGATGTGTTGCTTGCGCAGGTGGCAAGGTCCGATCGAGCCGACAGGACCTGGCGCTTTGCGTGCTTGAGCGCAAACGGTTGCACCGCGCGTGGACAAATCCGTCCTTCACATGATTTGTGTGGACAATTCCCGGGTCTTGCGCGCCCCGACCTTCAAGCAATCTGGCAAAGTTGGCTCGGTCTTCATGATCGTATATGCGCCAACAAATATATAGATAAACATCAGGGCCTCGAAGGTTCCGGTGGGACTTGGTTTTATCTCGGCGCCAGGACCTCCGCTGCTTTTGCGGAGGCCTTCCGGATCGGGGGGTTCCCCCGAGTGTTTCTTCTTCTTTTTTTTCTTTCGGCATTCGCAGGGATGGCAGCCATCCAAGTTGTTTGTGGCCAGGCGGGCACGGCTTCGGGCCAGGACAGAGACGGGGAGGCTAGTTTTTTGTTTTCGAGGCTCCCCGGAAACCCGGTTGCTTGTCAAGGGAGGCCAAACGGAAGCCACGTTTGGAGGGTTCCCCTTTGAGACAAGCCCATGTGTGATGTCAGGTCCTCAATTAGAGTTACCCATCGGATCGTGTGGCGTTGCAGGAGACTGCAGGGATCTATGGCGAAGCCATGGACGAAGGCCTCTCGCGGTGCCTTGACTCGGTGATTCGGGCTACGAAGAGATTTTCAAGATGCCTTTTGAAAGGCTTTATATGGGTGTGGGTCAATCCTCAATTCAATCCACCAGGGGGACTGCGGGTTTTAGTCCATGTGTCCATTCACCAGAGCAAGCCATTTTGGGTGCCTATTCTTGACCCACAACCATATAAACGGAAACAGAATGCACGCAAACTACTTGGAAGGGCCAAACAATTGGAAGGGACAAACAAGCAAAAATTCGGGCTGAAGTGGAGCTTTTACAACCATAAACCAACAAATGCCCTGCTAGTATCTCTTGGCATGCAGAAGATGGACATCCATCATCTTGGGATATAAATGCAACCACTGCGAGGGTTCCCAACGTTTATACAGCTACACCCCATTGCTCAACATACCATAACATGCTCATTTCATTTGGTTTCATGTCATCTCATGCCATTTACATTTCATTGCATATAAACAAGTATATATTTTAATATACTGACAGACACGGCCCATGTTTGCCCAGCTGGTCGTCTACCCCCCCGCGGGGTCTGAGGTTCTTGGTGTCGAGCCAAGACTTGAGCGAGCAGAACTTGCAGAAGCTGGAGATCCCGGTGGCCTTTGCGCCCCGGCCTTCGGTCGCCGTGAAGTTCTTGCGGCGGGTTTTACTTTGAGGCATTTTTGGGCATGGGTTTTTCAGCGATATTGGACGCATGTCTAGAAAGCCATCCCAAGAACATTTACTTTCTTCCTGGGCAGGTGGCTCGGCTTTCTTTTTCGTGTTCTTCTTTTGTCAAGCATGCTATCCTAAAGTCCTAGACTGCTGTTTGTGGTTTGGGTTGTGGTCTTGCAGGTGTTCCTAGTTTTCTTTGGTGTGACTTATTTTGGTTAGGCTCCCGTTGGCCGCCGGTCTTGGGTTGGGTTGTGTCTTTTGTCTCGTTTTGCCAGTTTTCGTTGGTGTGGCAATCGATTTGGCAGCTCCCATGCTATTTCTGGCTGTCACTTTCCTGGTGGTGCTCGTCTTCTTTTGGCCGATCGTGTTCTGCATCACTTGCATGTCAGTAATTTCAGCTGGGCTGGCTTTGGCCTTCAGAATCCAAGACATGTATTTTTTTTTGCAGATGGTGCCTGTTGTCTGTGGTTGTAAAGGGCCGCCAAAAGGAAAGTTTGGAGGGATCCCCAACAAAAAAAGGCTTCCCCACATCGAGAGGGTGAAGCCCAGGACAATGGATCCAAGAGGCGCTTCCGCCCGAGAGATCGGGGGAGGATTTTCCTCTCGGGATCCCAGAAAAGGGAGGGAAACGGCGGTTCCCGAAAAAGGATGGCCATGTCAGTTTGCGGAGCAGGGCTGAAAACGTGTGCAAGAGCCCGGGTTTTTTGCCGCCTGATGGATCCTTTGAAGGGGAAATCGGGTGCGCGCGCCAGCCTGGAACTGGGTCCTCGCGCCTCCACGCCCGAGCCATTGCCGGACACGGCGGAGGGCCGGCTGAAGGCAATGGTGGCTTTGCAGTGAGAGCCTTTTTGGAGACGGTTTCAAGAACAAACAAAAAAGGAATGGAATGGGGGTGTTTGATGTTGTTTGTGTGGAAAGACAAGATTCACCCTCCCACCAATTGGCATGGAACCGCTCTACGTCTGCGAAACGGTCCCTTTGAAAGGACCATGGTCCAAACCAGGACCCCCGCCCCCCCGAACGTCAGGTTCCATGTTACTTGGTGGCAGGATATTTGAGGAGCATAGGTGTCCTTTTTGGTTGTTTTGGTAGAAATAGACGGTCCTGGTCTACCTGGTGGTTTAATCATCCACCAGGGCCATGTATTTCCCCTAAAAGGACACCTATGCTCAGGAGGGTAAGCTTGTTCTCCTCGTTCAGGCGGAGATCACGGGCTTGGAAGAGCGGCTCTCCAACGTGATGGAGGTTGCCAAGGTGGCTGAAGCAGCCGTCACTCGGCTTTGCGGGAAGCGACTGGGGGTGGTGGGTTTCCTTTTGGTTTTTGGTTTCCTTTTGGTTTCCTTTAAAACCAACAAAAAGACACGAAACAGGGGAGCCGTGGCAATTCGTAGGCCGCTCGCTGAGGCCACCAAGGCGTCGGCACTGGTGGCTGCCCAGGCGAGGCGGTTCCGTGTGTGTCTTCAGGGGCCGGTCTGGGCGGTTCGATCGCAGCGAATCGTCCGGTTCCTTGGCTTCTGAACGTTGCTTTTTGTTGGTCTAGTCGGGGAGTCTGAATTTGAGCTGAAAGTTAGTACCTTGTGTTCGAAAAGAGCTGAAAACAGAAGTGCTTTGAATCGGCGATCATTGTGAGCAATTTTGAAAGGCCTGTAAGGGAAGCATGCGGAAGGCGTTTACTGGCACAATCACACTCTTTGGAATGATGCTGGCCATTGGTGCCTGTTGAAGAAAGACAGGAAAAGCTTTGTCCTCTTGAGACATCCTGCCGTTTTTGCTTCACTCGGAGGATTTCCTCCATGTCCCAAACTCTACTCGGCGCATATGTTGGATCTGTCTCGTGAGATGGACGCGTCCAGGATTCCCAGCTGCACGCAGCGGACGAAAAGATCCGTGAGCTGGAAGAAAAGGCGACCGAGAATGAGAAGTATCAGAAGGACGCAGTGAGCTGCGCTTGCTTCCCCAGCGGCCCTGGCACCAGCCCGCGACACCTAGGTTTCTTTTTGCGGCCTCCTGCCAGTTCCCAAGGCAAACATACAGTCAGAACCTGTGACGCAGTTTTTGGAGCTTCGCCGGAAAGGTTCTTTTTTGGCCTGAGAAGCAGTTTGCTTGTCTAAGCAATCTTTGTCCGGCCTAGGCCTTGTGAGAGAGGCAGAAATCCCGCGCTGTGAGTGGTGCCAACTTGGATGTCAGCAGATAAACCGATTTGATGTAGGTCAGCGCAAAGCATTCACGATGCCGACAACCACGTGGCAGCTACTAAACAGGATGAACATGGCAACAGCAGAGAAGGATTTGCCCGAGTTTCAGTTCACCTTTGGCGCATTTTGCTTGGATGTTAGGACTTCAACTTTTTGCCAACTAATGGGTTTTCCGTACTAAACCACTATTAAACCACTAAAAGTTAGTCACTTTTAGCAGGGGGGCAGAAAGCAACCGAGTCACTGTTTGCTTTCCTGGCAGGAGTTGGGCGAAGTCCGAGGACTGGCACGTCTCCACGTCTCCGGCACAGGGTCGTGAGAAGTGATCTCCTTTGCCGCAGGAGACGTGAAAGACATGAAGTCCGAGGTGAGAGATTCCATCGAAGAAGCGTGGCGCTCATTCCTTGCGTCTGGAGAGAAACCAAGGGATTGCACATTTTCGTGGGCCCTGAATCTGCAGGACTTCCCTGTTGACATTGGCAAATGGCTATGATTTATCAGGGTTTTATATCAGGAATATCCCGAATTTGGATGTCCCTGGACATCCCCATGGCAATCCCTCAAGTCAGCTTCTATTTGGCCCCCCAAGTTTGAACTCTTCTCGCTGAGGCCAAGAACATCTCCAACATGACCCAGATGCGGGTGGTCGCCGAGCTGGAAGGCCGGTTTTTCGATATTCAAGGGGTGCCTAGATAGCCAAGTCGCTGCTTTTTCAGTCACTGTTGCTGGTTAAAGTGCATGGAAGAAAACAGCAACTGGCGATCCAGGTGCTTTTTGCGTGTTTCCCGCAGGTGTGGAAGCACGGCAGCACAACGCGGAGGGAGCGCGGCTCACGGCGTTCCATGGTTTCCTTGTTGGTTCCCAGCCATCCCCTTAGGCATCCCCTTTAGGCTTTTAGCTGTTTAGTGTTTAGTGAATATTTCCATTTAAGCCACTAAAATTTAAACTTTTGGCGGGGGATCTGAAAACGGACATCCCAGTTTCGTTCGTTGTTTCCATCCCCCCCTCCCTAAAACTTCGCAGAGACTGTTCCAAGGTGATCAAGGACATCGAAGGCAAAGTCATCGAGTTCGGCACTGCAGCAGTGCAAGCGGATACTTGCTTGCATTGACCCCGGATTCAACCCGTCCTATGCCTCAAGTGAAGGATTCCCACTATATAAAAGGAACGCCCCAAACAATCAACCAGGGGTGCATGAATCTTCCAAAACTCATATGTGCGTGTCAGTCCTGGCCTGAAATCGCTCCCAGGAACGAGCTGCAGATGCAGCGGAAGAGGGGGCCGAGAGGTCGAAGAACGCGACCAACCTTCTGAAAGCGAGACAGGCCCATATGAAGTACGAGGTGGACGATTTGAGCTCCTCGCAGCCCGACCGCAATGAGAGTTGAAAAACACCTGCCAAACACATGTGGCTGTGGGCAAAAACATGTACCCAAAATGGCTTGCCCTGGGAAGTAGAAATAAGGACTAAAACCTGCGGTCCCCTGGTGGTTGGGTTTTGACTTATACCCATGTTATTTGGCGGATGAAGGTGACTGACGGTTGCCCCATGCTTTTGCAGACATGCGCTGCCAGCCTTCCCTTTTTGAATATTCCTCCTATTGTGACTCTTGGCCTCTTGATTCACAATTGTGTGAAGAGCCATAGCACTGCTCCTGAAGTTGTTGCTATTGGAGGTTGTTTTGTTGAAATTGGGAAGCTGCCCCCATAGTGGTCTCGCTGCTGAACGGCGTGAGGATGGAGGAGATGGAGAGGGAGCAGAACATCACGCGGAAGGTGGAAAACGTACTGCTGGGCAGAACTGCGAATCTCGATAAGATTGTCTCCCGAATCGACAGCGCTCTCAAGAACTTCAACGGCAGTATCAGCTCTGCTGCGGCTCGCCACAGTTTGGGCCTAGGGGCCTGGGTTCTGGCTCCAGAGGTGTGTCTGCCTCTTCAGCTTCAGCTGTTGGGTGAGGCAAGTAGCAGAATCTGAGGTCCATGAGTCAAAGAAGCCAGCTGCAGGAATCATTTATTGAAAACGATTGGGCAAAGGAATTAGTACTCTCTTGGCATACTCTGTAGTCAGAGGGGGCACACAGTTGTTTGAGACCTTTTTGGGTCTTTCTGCACTGGAGTTTTGCACTGCAACTTGTTGCTTGGCGCTTGGGCGTTTGCCGGCCGATTTTGTGTTTGGCAGTTTTTGCGGCGCCGTGACCTTGAATTTCTTGAATTATACTTTTCCGGACCTGGGAGCCGTTGACAGAGAAGATCCACCTAAGATCTGGCATTGCTGATTTGATTTGCCGTTCCCCAACAAAGGAGAACCAGTTGTTCTCAGAGTCCACTGGCCTTAGGGCGAACAACGTGCAAAAAGCCATTCTTTGCGTCAATGTGGCACCACTACACCCACCCACCCACCCACCCACCCACCCACCCACCCACCCACCCACCCACCCACCCACCCACCCACCCACCCACCCACCCACCCACCCACCCACCCCCCCACCCACCCACCCACCCACCCACCCACCCACCCACGCACGCACGCACGCACGCACGCACGCACGCACGCACGCACGCACGCACGCACGCACGCACGCACGCACGCACGCACCCACGCACCCACGCACACACGCACCCACGCACCCACGCACCCACGCACCCACGCACCCACGCACCCACGCACCCACGCACCCACGCACCCACCCACCCACGCACCCACGCACCCACGCACCCACGCACCCACGCACCCACGCACCCACGCACCCACGCACCCACGCACCCACGCACCCACGCACCCACGCACCCACGCACCCACACACCCACGCACCCACGCACCCACGCACCCACGCACCCACGCACCCACGCACCCACGCACCCACGCACCCACGCACCCACGCACCCACGCACCCACGCACCCACGCACCCACGCACCCACGCACCAACGCACCCACGCACCCACGCACCCACGCACCCACGCACCCACGCACCCACGCACCCACGCACCCACGCACCCACGCACCCACGCACCCACGCACCCACGCACCCACGCACCCACGCACCCACGCACCCACGCACCCACGCACCCACGCACGCACCCACGCACACTCCACGCCACCACACGCACACAAACGAACCCCCCCACCCACCAACCCACCCTCGCAACGCACGCACCCACGCACCCACACCACCCACCCACCCACCCACCCACCCCCAACCTCCCAGCCCACCCATCCCCACCCACCCACCCACCCACCCACCCACCCTCCCTCCCACCTCACCCCACCCACGCCACCCACCCACCCACCCACCAACCACGCACGCACGCACGCACGCACGCACGCACGCACGCACGCACGCACGCACGCACGCACGCACGCACGCACGCACTCACGCACGCACGCACGCACGCACTCACGCACGCACGCACGCACGCACGCACGCACGCACGCACGCACGCACGCACGCACGCACGCACGCACGCACGCACGCACGAACGCACGCACGCACCCACGCACGCACGCACGCACGCACGCACGCACGCACGCACGCACGCACGCACGCACGCACGCACGCACGCACGCACGCACGCACGCACGCACGCCACGCACGCACGCACGCACGCACGCACGCACGCACGCACGCACGCACGCACGCACGCACGCACGCACGCACGCACGCACGCACGCACGCACGCACGCACGCACGCACGCACGCACGCACACACGCACACACGCACACACGCGCACCGCACAGAAGCTGCCGCGGAAAATCATTCCTTTCCAAATAGATATTGTTTTTGAGGCTTACTCAGAGTTGCTACTTAGTTTCGTGCAGGTGCAGCACAACATTGTTACAATCCACAACATAAACAATGTCCAAGCGTCCAACCACTTGGAATTAATACCCATTTGGGTGGTTTGTTCTGAGCGCTCCCCTTTTTTGGGTTGTTTGAATTGGAAAGCAAAGGGTGGGGTCCCCAATCTTAAGTCACACTGTGAGTTGCGGTTCGCGGTCAAGAAATCTTGTTAATGCCATATAAGGCCAAACAAGTCCAAATAAGGTCAAGAAATAGGTCCAAACAAGGCGAAATGATATGTTTCCTTTCACATCCCTTCTAAATCAGGGTCCATCCAAAGCCCTAAGGAAACAATAGAATTCAACGGCTGTTCAAGGGATCCAAAACCACCCATCCACCCATCCACCCATCCATCCATCCCTCCCTCCCTCCCCTCCCTCCCCTCCCTCCCCTCCCCT